TCAGTAAAAACCTGGAAGAGTCATGGAAATTCAAAATGCTAATTCCAGGCCCTGGAAAAGTTTTGGAAAAGTAACTAAAGTTGCATCAAATATAATTTATATTTTATCTAATCTCCAAAATAGTAATACTCTAATGATAATAAATACTGTATGGTAATGAAACGTAAAATGGCTTTTAACTGTCGAGGTATTTTGCTGGTGAGAGATTTGAGTTGCTTTGCGTGTAGAAGCTAGTCAGCCTACTATTGGATTTGTTTTAGATAGGCAACAACATGTTTCATATGCAGACCTTATTTTCATGTTCCGTGTTAAAATAAACCATTTTCAGTGGTACTGCTGAGAGTAATTTTTTTGGTCATGTCAGGTAAAGGTAATTGAAACTACATTGGTGAAAAAGTGTATGAACCCTGACTTATACCAGCTGTGATGAAAACATTGACGCATAAATTATCATAATCCAGTTATTAAATATAAATGATTCTGAAATTGGACAGTAGATATATCAAATACTTTCACTTAAGCCAACTCTGTGTATTTGACACATCTTCCAAAAAGTCACACCTGGTTCCCAAAAATGTAGAAATGTCTCATATTCAATATATCAGGCCTTCCTTAAGTATCAAAGGTTTTTAGCCTCTCAGATTTTCTGGGTTGGTATCGGTGGTATTACTTGCAGCTGTATGTTTCTCATCTTGTTGGTCTCTCCTTGTCTGAATGACCCGTTGTTCGTCCCCTCTCTCAGGCGATGGCTCTGCCCTCAGAGACCATGTGATCAAACACGGAGCCGTCCTCCCTCTGCTCAGCCTGCTGGCCGTGCCCGACCTCTCCGTGCTCACTGTGAGTGCTTTAGTCGTCTGATTTATTATCTGACTTGGTTTGTCCATACATGTACTTTTCTTAAAACAGGAACTAATGTCCTTAGAGGCAGTTTAAAGGGGGAAAAAACACCTTATCGAATTCCTTAAACACATTTAAAAGAATATATACTGATTATTCTACATAAGTATTTCAAGAAAAAAAAAAAAAACAGCCGAATTAATTATTACAAAATTAAGTTTAAAAATCATATTCACCATAATAACTTACATTTGAATCCACTTTATAGATTTAAACATCCACTGAATTAGATCTGGTGTATAATGACGGATACATAGTAAGAGGACTTAAAAAGGAACAAATATCATTAATATAATATTCGTAAATCCAAAAAAAGTATAAATATACGAAGTAAAATATTTATCAGAATTTAAAGTATGAAAAACAATGTTTAACAACAGAGGGTGCTACATAACAGACTTTCAGGAAAAGTCACGGACTGGGAGACTTGAATATTTTATTGAAAAAAAGCTACATACAATCAAAAAAACAGCTGCGGGTAAAATGGACCCGTTGGCGTTCTAGTGTTGAAAAGTCAAAAGTATGACTCTCTTGGCTCGGTCTGAAAATGACCTCAGGTGAAACGTGACCTGAGTTCAGATAACTGAGCCTAAAGTGTCCAGGCGCATGAAGCTTATTTCCTGCTCACTCATTGGCAGAGCGATAAAACCCATGTGCCGACAAAAGCATTGAATAATCTACAGTAACTCTTAAATGGTGTTCACCCATGTTAGAGCCAATTAGGATGTACCTGGTCGATCATGTCGTTGCCATGCTGGTCAAACGTAAATCTGGAATTATAGTATGAAATATTTAAAAAAGTATCTCATTACAGTCAAGATATTATCACTTTCGCTTCCAAGACGATGTAACATTTCAATGTGAACACACTGAATGTAAATTGCTCCAAGTTCGTCAGACCTATTAGGCATGTTTGATATTCACTGATTACTCATCATCATATTGATGGGTAAATAAAGCCCCTTGAGCACCAGGAAAAGCGCTATATAAATCAAATGTATTATTACAATAAATAAGGCTTTAAAAAAAGTATGAATATACGAAGTAAAATATTAATCTGGGTGGAAAAGTGCACTTTATCAGAATTGAAAGTATGAAAAACACAAGCAAATGACACATGGTCATTCCCCTCTGTCCCCACTAGAGGGCGCTCTGACTCGACACTCCTCTCTCAGCAAACGGCTCTCTTATATTCTGTATAAGTATTTATTTAAATATTAAAGTATTACGTTTAAAAATTAGTTAATTGAGAAATATCAAATTCAACATAATTGGTAATATCTGCTTTTATTGAGAATCAGACTTTATTTAGTAAGAACCTTACACATTGACACAGAGGAATTTAGTTCTAAACCAAGAGCAAATATACATAGAATAACTATTACAAAAAAACTATTACAAGAAATACAGTTTGAAGTACAATAGCAATATGACTTATTATTCAAAAAAATGCAATGTGTGCACTTTCAGTCATTCTCCTCTGTCCCCACTAGAGGGCGCTCTGACACAATGCCTCTCATATCAGACTAACCTCCCCTCTCTCTCTGCAGGTGGGCTACCTGAGGAACGTGACCTGGACCCTCTCTAACCTCTGCAGGAACAAGAACCCGTCCCCCCCCCTCGCAGCCATCCAGCAGATCCTGCCTGTGCTGGTGCGTCTGCTGCACCACGAGGACCGGGAGGTGCTGGCTGACGCCTGCTGGGCCGTGTCCTACCTGACGGACGGCTCCAACGACCGCATCGAGGTCATGGTGCAGACCGGGCTCATCCCCCGCCTCGTCAAGCTGCTCGGGTTCGAGGAGCTGCCCGTCGTGGTGCGTACCAAACCTCTTATGTGGTGTTTTTATTTTGTATAATCGGAAGGAAACAAATGAGTTGTGTGTTTATAGCGTCGTGGACAGTCCCATCAATCAACTGTCACAGAACACAGTAAATGGGGCAGTTTGTAGTGCGAGGAGGAAGGGGTCACAGCTCTTGCATGTTGTAGATTGTAGATTTTAGGAGCAGTAAGAAAATCAACATTCAATTATTATTTTTATTTTCAACCTAAAATATTGTTTTAAGGAAATCTAAAATCATTATAACATAAACTTTGACTTTGAACTTCAGATGAATGCCTTCTGTCTGCATGCCATGATGTGGTGTTCATGTGGTTGCAAGTAGTAGTAAAAAAGAGATTATTATGAAATATATAAAGTCATTATTTTATAAAACTGATTGTGAGATTTTTCAAATGAGATAAAACTTAATAATTATGATTTTAAAAAGTCAAAACTATGACTTCATCATCGTATCGACCAATAAGGCCACAGTGCTGACCTCCAAGGCATTATGATATTTAAAGATCCTGATATTTTGAAATGAGAAAAGTTCAAACCTATGAAGTCAAAAGTATGACTCTCATTCGGCTCGGTCTGAAAATGACCTCAGGTGAAACGTGACCTGAGAAAACAACAGTAGGATATTATACCATCATCAATTGTGTTCGACTTCTCTCAAAAACATAGATTGTGTCTTTACCAGTCATTATGATGGTGATGACCACTTAATTTTTTGGCCCCGTTGCACAAATTTACTCTGCGGATTTTGTAGTGCGTGGTTGTAATCGGAGGAAATCGAATCGCACCACTGGACTTCAGTACACGGCACGACATCAAGGAAATATCGGTTTGTAATCGAGTGGAAATCGAATCGCCCACTGCACTCAGTACACTGGCAGGTCATAGGAAATATCTGGTGTAATCGGTGGAAATCCGAATCGCCACCACTGGACTTCAGGTACACTTGCAGGTCATTCAAGGAAATATCGGGTTGTAATCGGTGGAAATCAATCGCCACCCCTGCACTTCAGTACACTGGCACGACATCAAGGAAATATCGGGTGTAATCGTGAGGAAATCAAATGCCACCCCTGACTTCAGTACACTGGCACATCAAGGAAATATCGGGTTGTAATCGGAGTGAAATCAAATCGCCACCCTGCACTTCAGTACATGGCACGACATCAAGAATATCGGGTTTGTAATCCGGTGGAAATCAAATCGGCACCCCTGCACTTTATACACTAGGCCGACATCAAGGAAATATCGGGTTGTAATCCGGTGGAAATCGATCGCCACCACCCTGCAACTCATTACACTGGCAGACATCAAGGAAATATCGGTGTAATTCGGTGGAAATCGAATCGCCACCCCGCACTTAGTCACAGGACGACATCAAGGAAATTATCGGGTTTAATCGGAGGAAATCGAATCGCCACCCACTCCAATTCAGGTACACTGGCACGAACATCAAGGAAATATCGGGTGTAATCGGTGGAAATCGAATACACCTACTCCACTCAGTACACTGTCACGACATCAAGGAAATATCGGGTTGTAATCGGTGGAAATCGAATCGACACCCACTCCACTTCAGTCACACTGCACGGACGTCAAGGAATATCAATTGTCAATCGAAAAATGAAGTCTTTATAATTTCACCACAATTAATACACCTCTAATAGGACGACTTAGATTTGCAGATTCATAGTATTTGCAAACAATGTCTCTAATAAAAGACTGTATTAGTTTTTAGGGTCCCTTCTTAGGGTATACCTGGCTCCTCTACCGACGGAAGTCCCAGTCAAGTGTGGGGGTGGAGATATCTAGTAAAAATTTCTGACCAACACAAAGCCTTGTGAGTGGTACTTACAAACCACTACCGTAGGTCCTACTGCTCCTGCTAGGAACGACAGGAACCTCCTTCTCCTCCAAAGTCGTCGCCGAGGTCCTACAACCGTACGTGGTCCATCTGTGACGACGTGCCTGGGGGGTGACCCTTCAAGCACTACCCGGTGTTGGCGAAGGAAGACCCAAAAATATCAGTGGGACGTCTCTTTTCTCTACCTCTACTACTCGGTATACCAATAGTGATCGATACACGTATACCTGTTAACCGTTAGAACTTTGAAGCCAAAATACGAAGAAATAGTATAAGAAATTTTTGTTATCCCGTCGTCCATCGCAGTCAGACTTTCGTTGGTTATTGCTCGAATTATCTTTTGGAATGATGATTGCATTGGGCCTCGTCGTGCAGGTGGTCGTCCCCCGTCTCAGGCCGCAGCTACTGGAGGACCTAGACCGTCATGAGGACGGCGGGCAGTGCTAACCTGTCGCAGGTCCGGCGGAGGAAGACCTTACAACGGAAAGAACACCGCCCGTCGTCCTTGCCCCTTGTACCGCTCCCGAGGCCTCAGGTTTTGGCGGACGAGACGAGGCAGGACATGGTAACGCAGTGCTACAAGGGGTCCCGAGCGTCGCGCCCAGCACTCCCCCCTCTCCCTTCAGTACCATTAGTAATCCTACTAGCAGTATAAAGACTTATTTTATTTTATATTTTAGTATTAAGACTTGAAAATAGAAGCAAGTGTAAAATTTTAGAGTGTAGTCAAAAGAATTTCTAGATAGATAGTCTCCTGCTTCAGGGTAGGGGAAGGCCACCTGGCAGGTACCCTTGGAATAAGTCTATTAAATTACATAATCTTCAGTACCTTCTCTCTTTCTAATAGAAAGGTTAGGACAAACTTAACATGGTGTTTAATGTGTATACTACAAACAGTTAAATTTCTATTAATAATCGTTCAGTTCTCTTTTTTTTCACATGCATTGTGACACTCTCTTTTTTTATCCCAAACAAAAAGAACACACAATGGTCGGTAACAAATTGGTTAAGTCTTACCGGGTACTTCTGTCTAACTAGGTTAGTGAACTTTGAGAAATTATGGTTACCGAAGGTTACCTCGAAGTGAGGTGATCTACCAAAACACTTGGTATGACCTCAGTCCAATCATACTAGCGGAGTAGTGTACAAAGATAAGTCCCTACTTACAATTTGACTTCGAACTGAAATTCGGTGGGTTGCCTCCAAAGTACATTCAAAATCAAGAAAGTGAGCATCGAGCACACGACGGATCTCTGCCCTCGTACACTATCTGAGATCGCCTATACCCGTAATGTATTTGATGAGCGACATTTTGTTTGCGTTAACTTAAGCGTTATACAGTCAGTGTAATCTATAAGGGGTTTAGCACGTCGGGATAAGGGTCGTGTGGTATATAAGTAAGTTTCGGTAGACTGAAGGGTTGCTAATTATGACGTCTATAAGTTACGAAATACAGCCGTGTACCCAAAATAGCGAGACGGTTACTCACTCGTCCTTTATTCGAATTACGCGGACCTGTGAAATCCGAGTNCCCCCCCTCAGTTGTTAAAGCACATTTCGTTTCACCTACTCTTGGCATCTTTTAAGATATAGTTGGATTATACAAATATCATATGTGAGTTACCTTAATATCCACAATACCGAGGAAAACATTACAAAGTAATTAAACACACCCATATATTTATCATGTAGACTTCCCTAATATTTGACATGCTGGAGATCTTTTAAGAAGAATGTCCCCTCCCCCAGCTCTTCCAATCTACTGGAATGCAGAACTGCTCTCTGTTCATACAGAGTCATAAAACATGTTTAAGCTCATTTCTCCATAATGTTTGTAGCAATTTAGTACCCACACATGAAAGAATAAACAGAGAAATCAAATAAAACACACACAGTTATAATTTGAGCAGCAATCCCCTTGTAGCTGCTGCAACAGCCCTAAAGCATCTTTCACGCACCCACATGGCAATAGAAACAAAAGCAAACTGTGTGGCCTAATTCCCAAGGCCTCTTTATGGGTCTACAGGAAACGAATCATTAACTTTAACAAGACTTTAACTACATTATCTGAAAATGTATCTGGGAATTCCCCTGTTAATTGCAAGGAATATTGATAATTAAGACCCTAGGGGCCTCTTCTTGGTATCTGCTAGGCAGAAGTCACTCAATGCAGAAATCACAAGTTTAACACACATTCTATATAAGGTGACATTAAAATGAATATACCAGATTGAACTTTCCTGCCATAACACGTTACTTTAATCCTTCAAATAATTCAAATAATACTTCAGAGTACGTTTCCAAAGAGCCGCCATAGTAGATTTTGAAAAAACTGTTACACTGAAGGATTGTGGGTAATGGAGTTCGTCTCGTTGTTGTTATTCATAAACAATGTTTTAATTGTAGTATCACTGCTCATGTTTTATTGTTTTATGGTTCAGTGATAAAACTCTTTCTGTTTGTTTAGACCTTGTTTTTAATTATTTCCCTCTACTTAATCTTTAACGTTGTTTTCTCCGTTACTTCCTCAGAACGTAGTTTTCTCCGTTACACGCTGTTTTCCCCGTTACACGCTTTTTTCTCNGTTAATTCCTCACAACGTTATTTCTCGGCTACTTCATCTTTAACGTTGTTTATTCCGTTGCTTCCTCTTAACGTTGTTTTCTTCGTTACTTCATCTTAAGGTTGTTTTTCAGTTACTTCATCATAACGTTGTTTTCTCGGTTACTTCCTCTTTTACGTTGTTTTCTCGGTTACTTCATCGTAACGTTGTTTTCTCTGTTACTTCCTCTTTTACGTTGTTTTCTCCGTTACTTCATCGTAACGTTGTTTTTCTCGGTTTCTTCCTCATAACGTTGTTTTCTTGGTTACTTCATCGCAACGTTGTTTTTCTGTTACTTCATCGTAACGTTGTTTTCTCTGTTACTTCCTCTTTTACGTTGTTTTCTCTGTTACTTCCTCATAACGCTGTTTTCTCCGTTACTTC